CTTAAATTAACATCCCTCAAGTTATTTAAGTGATACATGATCCAAATCAACTAACCCATGTCCGGTCATCACGTGAGATGGGGTAGTCATCAATGGTGAACATCTCTATGTTGACCATATCTACTATATGACTCACGTTCAACCTTTCGATCTTCAGTGTTCTGGGACCATGTCTGTACATGCTAGGCTCATCAAGTTTAACCCAAGTATTCTGCGTGTGCAAAACTGGCTTTGACCCGTTGTATTTGAACGTAGAGTCTATCACACTCGATCATCACGTGGTGCCTCGAAACGATGAACTTTGGCAACGGTGCATACTTAGGGAGAACAATTTTACCTTGAAGTTAAGTGAAGGGGTCATCTTATAATGCTATCGTCGTTCTAAGCAAAATAAGATACATAAATGATAAACATCACATGCAATCAAAATGTGTGACATGATATGGCCATCATCATCTTGTGCTTTTGATATCCATCTCCAAAGCATCATCATGATCTCCATCGTCACCGACTCGACACCTTGATCTCCATCGTTGCGTCGGGGTCGTCTCGCCAACTATTGTTTCTACAACTATTGCTAATGCATAGCGATAAAGTAAAGCAATTACATGGCGCTTGCAATTCATACAATAATTAAGACAACCCTAAGGCTCTTGCCGGTTGTCAATATTACAAAACATGATCATCTCATACAACAACGTATATCACATCACGTCTTGACCATATCACATCACAACATGCCTGGAAAAACAAGTTAGATGTCTTCTACTTTGTTGTTGCTAGTTTTGCTGGTTGCTACAGGCTTCTAGCAAGAACCGTTCTTACCTATGGCAAAAACCACAACGCTAATTTGTCAAGTTTGTTGTTTTAACCTTCTTCAAGGACCGGCCGTATTCAAATTCGATTCAACTAAAGTAGGAGAAATAGACACGCGTCAGCCACCTTTATGCAAAACTAGTTGCATGTCAGTCAGTGGAACCGGTCTCATGTGTGTGGACATGTAAGGTTGGCCCGGGCCGCTTCATCCCGCAATACCACCGAATCAAAATTAGACATTGGTGGTAAGCAATATGACTATAACCGCCCACAACTCTTTGTGTTCTACTCGTGCATATCATCTACGCATAGAAGTGGCTCGGATGCCACTGTTAGGGAATGTTGCATGGAAAATAAAAAAAATTCTACGCACACGCAAGATCTATCCATGGAGATGCATAGCTACGAGAGGGGGAGAGCATATACATACCCTTGTAGATGCAAAGCGGAAGCGTTTATCACGCGGTTGATGTAGTCGTACTCTTCACGATCCGATCATGATCCAACCGATCTAGTGTCGAACGGACGGCACCTCCGTGTTTAGCACATGTGCGGCTTGATGACGTATCCTTCTTCTTGATCTAGCAAGCGGGAGAGGAGAGGTAGATGGGATCACAACCAACACGACGACGTGATGGTGATGATGGTGGTGGAGAGTCGGCAATGCTTCGCTAAGCGTCGTCGGGGCGAGGCGGTGGAACTACAGAGTAACGGGAGAGAGTGGGGCGTCAAGGGCTTGGTGTGTCCTCTTGGGGCGCCCCCTCCCCTCTATATATAGGTGGAGGGGTGTAGGGAACAGACCCTCCAAGCCCTAGGGTGCAGCTAAGGGGGAGAGGACTTGGACTCCAAGTCCAATTCTATTCCTACTGAGACTCCTTTTTGTCTTCCCTAGCCACATGGGCTTTTGAGGACTTGGTGCGCCTAGTCCAATAAGGCCAGGGTGCCTCCCCACAGCCCATGCTAGCCCTTGGGTCATGGTGAACCTACTTGTGGACTACCGGACGCCTCCGGAATCCTCTGGAACCTTCTAGAAGCTTCCCGGCACAATACCAAAAAAACTGCACCTTTTTTCGGAACCCAAAATATGACTTCCCATATATAAATATTTACCTCTCACCATTCAGAGACTCCTCGTGACGTCCGGGATCTCATCCGGGACTCCGAACAACATTTGCTTACCACTCATCAAATATCCCAATGCTACTCTAGCGTCAACGAACGTTAAGCGTGCGACCCTACGGGTTCGGGAATTATGTAGTCATGACTGAGACACCTCTCCGGCCAATAACCAATAGCGGGACCTGGATGCCCATATTGATTCCTACATATTCCACGAAGATCTTTTATCAGTTGAATCTTTATGACAACATGCGTAATTTCATTTGTCTGTCGGCATGGTACTTGCCCGAGATTCAATCGGCAGTATCTCTATACCTAATTCAATCTCGTTACCGGCAAGTCTCTTTACTCGTTTCGTAATATATCATCTTGTAACTAACTCCTTAGTCACTTTGCTTGCAAGCTTCTTGTGATGTGTATTACTGAGAGGGCCCAGAGATACCTCTCCGATACACGGAGTGACAAATCCCAATCTCGATTCACACCAACTCAACAGACACCTTTGGAGATACCTGTAGATCATCTTTATGATCACCCAGTTACGTTGTGACGTTTGATAGCACACAAGGTATTCCTCCGGTATCCGGGAGTTGCATGATCTCATGGTCGAATGAATATGTATTTGACATTAAGAAAGCAGTAGCAATAAACTGAACGATCATATGGTATGCTAACGGTTGGGTCTTGTCCATCACATCATTCTTCTAATGATGTGATCCCTTTATTAAATGACAACTCATGTATATGGTTAGGAAACCTTAACCATATTTGATCAACGAGCTAGTCTAGTAGAATATTTGTTTATGTATCGACACATGTATTTAAGTTTCCGGTCAATACAATTCTAGCATGAATAATAAACATTTATCATGATTAAGGAAATATAATAATAACCATTTTATTATTGCCTCTAGGGCATATTTTCATCATGTGTATCACAGGTGTCCTCGCTGATTGTCATCATGACACATAGTAGCATACTCCGTCCCTTTGGTGAAAAGTGTACAAATAGAAATTTTAGGACAAATTATGGAGTAATGTAAAAAAATGCATTGAAAACGTGCAAGTCACCGTCTCTCTCTTTAATTACCCAACCCCCAATGAGATAGAGCTGGCTATGTGGTCTCGCTGCTACTTTGGACGACGCTTGTTGCATGATTTCTGGACGATGGAACATATCCAACCATCCATCCTTAACTAAAGTGTAGCACACCATTTGATCGACCATCGTGCAAGAATCGGTCACAGAAGTGTCATTTGTTAAGTAGTTTCGTACTGCTTATGACACTCTCATTATGACCAGCCTAATAGTGAAATAATCATTTGATCCGGCAAATAATATATAAATATATATAAAAATAATCGTAATAGCATCTTATATTATACTAGTAGAACCGAGGGAAGTACTATATATTAGTGTTAGTCAAGAATCATCACTTGATTTTCTGAACCTATCATCACTTGATTTGATCTACAGAAGAAGCTATGAATTGAACACAAGCCTGACGGAGCCTCTGGCAGTGATGCTTCTCCGCTAAAGTCAACGTGGTCACCACGGTATTGGCCTCAAGGCTCTTGGAGAGGGCGGTTTCACATATTAGCTTCAACCTTTGAATATCGTACCGGTCCGCAGCCGCAAGCAGATCCATGACAAGCTCCCTCTTACGGTCTCCGTCCACGTCGCGCATGGCGGCAGGGAGCGAATCCATGTAGATGTAGTAGAGGAGGGCGTCGAAAACCTCAGGCTGCATGTCGTTAATGTCGACGCACCCGCCCGAGAACCCCAGCCCCCCGCCACGCACGACGCCCGCCATGAACGCCGGCGCCCTCATGGCCAGAACGGTCCGGTGGGCGCGGAAGCCCTGCCCTCCGACGAGGAAGCCGACGTCCGCCCCGGCCTGGGACTCGTACATCCTGGCGAGGTCGCGGTGCAGGTCCGAGGGCGGGTCCCCCTCGTCCGGCGCGGCCGTCCGGGTGACCACGGTCGGGTACATGAAGACGGTGACGACGCACTCGATGACGAGGCGGTCGCCGTGGACGAGCCCCCACGACGCCGACTCCAGCTTGCTCCTCTTGACGAACTTGCTGGTACTGGGCGCGAACCTGCTGAGGTCGGAGGTGAAGAGCATGGGCGGTGTGCGCGACACCAGGGAGGGCGAGCCGGGGCGCTGGCCGACGACGGTCAGGTCGCAGGACGCGCGCACGCGGGCGCCGGCGCTCAGGAGCTCCAGGTAGACGGACACGTACTTGGGCTTCAGGTACCCGCCGGGGTAGTAGCGGATGTTCCAGTCGAAGCCGCCGACGGCGAAGGCGCCCGAGCTGATGTAGACGTTGGGGCCGAGGAGCTTGTGCTGGCTGTACCCGCGGATGTCGAACACGTGCTTGCGCTGCACCGTCTCCGGGGTGCACGTCGACGTCGACGCCGCCGTCTCCAGCACCGCCTTTGCGCTCGACGCCGGCATGATGGATCGGATCTAGTGATAGATAGGCCTACGCGCGTACTCCTGTATAACGAAGTGCCTAACAGAATTCCGTTATATCGGTCCGTGCTAAACTAAATAAAGTATGTCGTCAATCACTGGGAGACTCTTGGACCCAGAGTCCTAACTACCTGCCGACTCAAATCACAATAAGTCTCTTGGACCCGAGTATTTTGGAACTTCGTCTCCGCCGTGATGAAGTTGTACACAACTGCCATCGATCGGCAGGAGTGCCACGGAAAAACGAAATCGCTGAGTTTTGGGGGGTCTTCTCATCGCGAGTAAATGGCATAAAGCTACTAGTTTACAGGTTAGGGTTCCAAAAAACTATCATTTTTTTAATTTTCTCAGAAAGCTACCAAACGCGCGGTCGGCTGTTTCAAAAAACCCAAACCCGCGGTGACTAGCGATTTAACCGTTTTTCTGACGGCCTGGGCCCATCTGTCAGCCCACGTGGTCGCGCGCGCTCACGGCGCGGCCGTTCACGGCCGTTAGCGCCGACGCGGTCCGGTCGGAACCAAAGTAGCCGACGCCGTCCGGTTCTCTCACTCCCCCTCCTCTCCCCCGCAGTGACCTAGGTGGGCGATGGCGGCGGCGCAGCCAAATCTCGTCGGCGGCGAGCGATTGAGCCAAGGCGGCACTGGCGAGGAGGGCGGTGGACCCTCAGAGGTGGACAAATGGCTAGGCAGCTCGAGCTTCCCGGCGCAGCGGTCGCAGCAGCCATCACCGCCCGCGGCTCATGTGGATCCGGCGAGCTCAGATCCGGAAGTCCGCGCGGCCGGGCAGTGGCGAAGCGCATCCACGCTGATCCAGCAGGCGGCCACCATTGGGCGTCGTCCTTTGGTGGAGTGAGGTAATCACTGCTCAATGGTTCTGTGTCATTTTGTTAAAATTTATGGGTCCTTTAGTTAAATTTTCTGGGTGCTTTTTGTTCAAATTAGAAGAAAGTGCTACTGTATTTTATTGGTTAAGTTAGTGTAGAAGAAAGTGCATTTGGTTAGTTCAGTTGGTCAGTGCATTCACTGTAATTAGAAGAACATTCATTTGGTCAGTAATGTTCAGTGCATTCACTTAAAAAATAATTGTTTGTCAATTTAATCCTACAGCTTAGATGATGCGAGTTGGGACTTGAGGCTACATTTTCAAGGAATAGATAATATGGAGAAAAAGTATTCAGTGTCCTCAGATATCAGTTATCTGACCATATTAGCATTGGTTGAGTTGGAGGGCTATGGAATGGATGCATTTCTAACTTATGTAAAGGAAGAGGGAAAGGGTCTGGAGGGTGTGGAGGCCCTGGATAGTGAGGAGGCATTAGAGGAAATGCTTGACTTGTTTGTTGATAATAAGGTACTGAACATCAGTGTCAGAAAAGCTACTGATCCAAGCCCAGCAGATGAGGAACAGATCCCCATTGATCATGTTGGTGAACCTATTGTTTACAGAGTTTCACAAGAAGGTGTTCTGTACCCTGCCCCTAATTATCCCTACATAAACACACAGCAAAGCAGCAATTTTAACAAGGAAAAAAAGTTGTGGAAGAAGAAGATGTAGAAGTAGCAGCAGATGAAGAAGAACAAGATGTACCAGAGGAAGAAGATGAAGTTGAAGATGACAAATCATCTTCAGATTTTGAGTTCTTTAGGGGTGATTACAGAGGGGAGAATATTTCTTACAAAGCTTGGTGTAGGGGTGAAGATGAGACTGGCACTGATACTGCAGAGCACTTCTGTGCAGCTAACTCAGAACCTTCTGAGTTTTGGGAGGAAGAACCAGTTGTTTCTGAAGATGAACAAGTAGAGGATCCTGGCATAAGTGATCCTGGTACTGTAACTACAAATGCAGCCAAAAAGCTTAAGCCAGTTAGAAAACCTGGCCCAACCAGCAAGTCTCACAGTGAGCCTGAGCACATCAAGTTTGAAGATTATGTCCCTGAAGCTGATGAGTACTGTTTTCCAGGTGATTTTGGCATAAGTGATGAAGATGATGCACCAAGGCTGCCATCTGGAAGGAAGAGTAGGAAGAAGCAGAAGAAGGAGAGGATATGGTATGATCCATCAAGGCCTGATGCACATGAGCAGTTTGCAATGCATTTGTGCTTTAAAAATGTAGTTGAGTTCAGAGAAGCACTTAGAAATTTTCATGTGAGGACTCTTAGGAATTTTGAGTATCACAGAAATGAACCAAGTAGGGTTATTGCTTGGTGCTCTGAGAGAAAACATGGATGTCAGTTTTACATAGTTGCCTCCAAGATAGCTCATGAGGCAACTTTCAGTATCAAGAAGATGAACCTGGATCACACTTGTGGAGCAAGTGGAGAGAACACAAAGGTGACAGTCAATTGGGTTGCTAAGGTTTGTGAGGATACAGTCACATCCAACCCTGGAGCTGGTGTTGACACAATTATGTCATACACAAAGAAGAAGTTTGGTGTGCATGTGCCTAAAAGCTTGGCATATAGGGCAAGGAAGCAAGCAGTTGAGGTTGTGCAAGGAGATAACAAACTCCAGTATCACAGAATAAGGGACTACCTGCAGTGTGTGCTAGATACTAACCCTGGCAGTAGGTGCATAGTAACAACACATGAGGACCCACTTAACCCAGCTCCTACCCCAAGGTTTCACTATATGTTTTACTGCTTGTTTGCATGCAAGGAGGGTTTTCTGAATGGATGCAGACCATTTATAGGTAAGTATTCAGAAATTTATATGTTTTTTAAACATTGATGTACTTAGGCACTCATGTTATCATGTTAGCAGGTCTGGATGGTTGCTTCATCAAGCTAAGCACTGGTCAACAGATATTGGCAGCTACAGGGAGGGATGGCAACAATAACATCTTCCCAATAGCTTTTGGTGTTGTTGATAAGGAAGAGACAGACGGTTGGACATGGTTTCTCACACAATTGAGAACAGTCATTGAAACTGGCAATAAGTTTGGCAAATACACAATTATGTCTGACAGGCAGAAGGTATTGTTCTGAACCTAGTCTTTACATTTGCCTTTACATTTGCAATGACTAAAATGTTATTCAGTAGATGAGTAGCACTTAAGATTACCTGATATTGAACAGGGATTGTTGAATGCAATAGATGATGTATTCCCTGACTCTCCACAAAGGTTTTGTCTTAGACATATTTATGCCAATTTTCAGTCTGCTGGTTTCAGAGGAGAGGAACTTAAGAAACATTTAGATCAGGCTGCCTATTCCTTTACCAAACATGGACATGATTTAGGCATGGAGAATTTGAAAAAAGAAAGTTTAGAAGCTTGGAAGTGGTTGTCCCAGATACCAGACCATACCCGGGCTAGGTATAAAATGGACACTGTGTGCAAAACTGACCTGGTAGTAAACAACCTTAGTGAAGTTTTCAATAGAATGATATTGGATGTTAGGAACAAGCCAATCAGGACTATGTTAGAGGGCATAAGAACAAAGCTAATGATTAAGTTTCAGAAGATCAGAGAGAAAACAGAGGGATGCAGATGGGAAATCACACCTACTTATTCAGAGATTTTAGAAGAGGGGAAGAAGTGGGCTAAATATTGTGAAGCATACATGGCAGGGCCAGGGATATGGCAGGTCACAAGTAGCTCTGAAAACACATATTGTGTTAATTTGAACAATGAGACCTGTGACTGTAGGAGGTGGGACATGACAGCTATCCCATGCAGTCATGCCATTGCTGCAATGCAGAAAGTGAAGATACATCCTGAAGACTATGTGTCTGCTTTCTTCAAGAAACCCATGTATTGTGAAACATATAAGCACATAATATTCCCTGTGCCAGGTCCTGACCATTGGCCTCATACAAATGGGCATGATATTTCTCCCCCTGTTTTTAGAGAAAAGAAAGGTAAGAAACGAACTGCCAGGAGGAAAGGCCTGTTTGAGGTGCCAGCTAAAAAAGACACTTCTAGGATTGGTACAGTCACATGCAGCAACTGCAAGATGCAAGGGCACAGGATCAACAATTGTGGTGTCCCTTTGAAACCTAAGTTCCAAATGAGGTTGAACAAGCATCAGGTATGTCCATTGATTCCATGGTTACTTACATTGCATTGCATTGTTACATTCATTTCATTTGTAGGAAAATACTTCTAACTAATATTGTTGTGTAGGAAAATAGAACAAACTACTCTGAGGCTGGATCTTCATTGGCTGCAACTGCACAAAGGCCACCAAGGGTACCTGCTGCCTCTGCACCTGCACCAATTCCTGCTCCAGTAACAAATGAGTCAACACAGACAGCTTCTAGGTCAAGGAAGAGGGCAGCACCAGCTACATCAACAGCACCACCACCTCTCAAGAAGAGCAGGACCAACACATCTTCTGCAACAGTAGTAGCACCTGCCAAGAAGAAGAACACAACTGTCAATGGCAATGGATCAAGGTCTTCTCCAGCAAAGAACACCAGGTCATCAAGGTCTTCTCCAGCAAAAAACACCAGGTCAGCTACTGCCAACAGAGCTGGCATTGGATCTTTCATTGCTCCTAGACAGGCTGCTGCCAATAGAGCTGCTACAAGTGTTGTGCATGATGGGTCAAAGAGGGTCAGGAAGCCATCAAATAGGCTGAAAGATTACTTTTATGCAAGTGGCAACTAGCTGAAGTTGTTGAACTCCAAGTGCTTCATGCTGTTTGATTTGGTTTGTAATAACATTGCCTCACTAAGTACTTGATACTGGACTCTTTGTAATATGGTACTGTATGTGGATTCTGCACTTGTTTGCAACTTCAATTCATCTGCAACTTTTATCTATATGTGGATTCAACACTTGATATACACCTTACATATAAAAGATATAAGATCAAGTTGAACACTTAATAGCATAGGAGATCCATTTCCACTACTTAATAGCATAGGAGATCCATTACAACACTTAATACCATAGGAGATCCATTACAACTTAACAACATAGGAAATAAGGTTCTTACACACTAGGTTAAACTTCACATTCCCCCAAAATGTACACCCATAATTACTTGAAATCATGCCAGGCCACATCCTTATATAAAGGCCTTTGGATGTACTTACTTCACCAACATATCACAGCAAGTTCAAGTCTCAAGGATGGCCTTGATTTGCTCTAACTTCTCCTTGCTGCCATACCCTTCATTCAGCATCTCAGCAACAAGAAGCTCAAGCATTGCCTTCTCCTTCTTAAGAACATCTCTGTCAACTTCAACATCCTTCATAGCCTTCCTAGTGTTCTTGATGATATCAGCTTGGCTCTGCAAAATGCACCTCTGCTCTTTTGCAAGTTTGAGCTTTTCCATCTGCACCTCCAACATGGCTTTCTCCTCTAGCTCCTTCTTCTTCTTCTCAAGTTCTTCCTCCTCCACTTGTTTCTTGTCCACCCTACCATCCTGCCAATCAAACATCTTGGATACATCATCAACAAGCTTGGTGTACTCAATGCAAAGCTTGTCATTTTCAGTCCTCAGCTTGGCCAACTCCCTTTCATGTTCACTCTTAAGCCTGGGCAACTCCTGCTCAAACTTCTCCTTGTCCTGTACCCTTCCAAAGTTCTGCTCATGGAACATCTCCCATAGCTTGCACAAACATCTCTGAAGAACAGGTGGCCAAGGCCCATCAACCCACTCTACAACACCACAATTCACACCATTTTCCTGCATTTGTAAATGTGAAAAGTTATTACAATGCCATTAGTAAGTTTTCAAAGTGGCAAAAATACATATGTGTCCTGTCATATCAAACAAACTGTTGCATCATATCAAACATGACTGAACATCCATAGCAGAAAACTTAATTGGCATCTAACCTGGACTGGGCAGCCATATAAACGCCTCCCTGTTACAGGCCCTTCAAAAGCAACACGCTTAATAGGCCTCAGTTGGTGCAGAATGCACTTGGGATGAGCAAGCTCAAGTTGGCCACAAAAAAGGGGCTCCACAGTGGTGTCTGGTTCCTCCTGCAACCATAATAACCAACAAAAACTGGTTTCAATCTCCACTCAATACCATATTCAACTTGCACTGTTCATTAAATCCCCAAATCAGCATGAACCCTAACATTGTACAGAGATGAACCCTAGGTTACCTAAATCCTACAATCAAACCGCACCCTCACAAATCAAGCACAGTATCACACACACAACAACAACACTAGACTAAGCAACATCCATGGCTGTAGCCTAAGCTACTGCCACCTAATCCTAACCCTAACCCTAGGTGGCAAAGAACTTACCATAAGTCCCATGTCCATGCCGACAGCCTCGCACTCCTCCTCCGAGCTGGTTTCCTCGTCGTTCCAGGAAGGCATTGCGGCAAGGAGGTCGACGGCCAACGGCCTCGAAGACGGCGCGCGGCGGCGAGCTCGTACTGGAGCAGGGGAGTGAGAGCAGGGGAGTGAGCGAGCAACGAGAGAGTGAGCGAGCGAGTGTGATCCCGACCGACCGAGCGGGTATATTTACCCCACTTCCGACCGGGCCGGTCGGCTAACGGCCGTGAACGGCCGCGCCGTGAGCGCGCGCGGCCACGTGGGCTGACAGATGGGCCCAGGCCGTCAGAAAAATGGTTAGATCGCTAGTCACCGCGGGTTTGGGTTTTTTGAAACAGCCGACCGCGCGTTTGGTAGCTTTCTGAGAAAATTAAAAAAGTGGTAGTTTTTTGGAACCCTAACCTGTAAACTAGTAGCTTTATGCTATTTACTCTCTCATCACGCGTGACTGTTCGTGCTTTTTCCCCTAGAATCGTCTTTTGAAAATAAAAATATTTCATGAACCATACGTCCAAATTACAGACTGAGTTCACCGTTGCATTTTTCACGTCAAGATCTTCAACTATATCTATAGGTTTCGACTAATATTTTTCTGAGTGAAAATTATGCTCTCAAAGTGATCTTACTCGGGCTCATAAACTGTGCTAACTCATGCTTCCAAGTGAACTAACTTGTGCTCCCGCGTGAAGCACACATGTGCTCCCAAAATGGACTAACTCATGCTCTTGAACTGTAGTAACTTATGCTTCCAGGTGAACTAACTAACTTGTGCTCCCGCGAGGGGTGAATCACGCCTTGCGAAGCACGCTTGTGCTTCCAACATGAACTAACCTGCCCTTCCACCTAGTACCAACTCATGTTTACAGTGCGACCCATAAAAAAAACTCATGTTTACTGTGCTTCCGAATGAACATGTGTGCTTCCAAGAAAACTCAAGAAAA